TCGGTGTCCTTGTTTTGCTTTCCTCATGCCTTCTGTCTCAGAATCATGAAATCTGTCATAACATGATCTCTTCCTCCCAAGGTTTTGGTTACCTTTGTGTTTCCAACCAGTTCTTCCTTACTGGTGAGGACAAGATCTGAGAGACTTTACTCTGTAGCTACACCCTCAGTTTTCTGAAACAAAGTTTTCTCTACACAGATAAGAACTTCCTGGACATTACATATTCTGGTTTTTCTAGCACTTTTTCTTAGTATACTTCCCAACAACCTTTGTTTCTGTAACTTCCACATTTTTCCTGGAAGATATGCATCTGGTATACCCATTTTAGATGACGTGGTTGTTATGCATTTTTTTAAAACGTGTGATGTTGGAATGCAGGTGAAAAGATGGTTTTAGCTCTAGAAGCTTTTCAGTCGCAGGTAAAAATGTCAATTTCATCTGTCTTTTGAGTACTTCTTCATGCTGATACTATTAAATTTGGCATATTTTTGCATAATATTTAGTCTGTTCTTTAGAGAGAACCAAGTCCTTGAATAGCAAAAGAATTTTGGGTCAGGACTGATGAAAGTTCACACATGTATGAGAAGAAATTTGTATGATGCACTTAAAAGAGTTTTATATAACATTACATTATTATTTCCCAAACTTTATGGACATTTAGCATTCATGCAAATGAGGAATTAATTTGTTGCTTACTTCGAGGTTTTCTAATTCAAATTAAGCAGTATTTAAACATTTACAAGTGGTAGAGGCTTTTTTTTTTTTTTAAATACAGAACAGGAAGAAAGGCTGCTTGCAGATGTAAAAAAAAATCAAAAACAAAACCACCAACAAAAAACCCCAAACAAAATGCGAAAGACCTGGCACTTCAAACTGTGCTCCCGCACCAAGCCCAATGCATGCTCAGAAGAGACAGTACGTTAATTGGGCCTGGCTTGCCCAATATCTGTATAGATCAGGTGCTTCAATGTTGGGCTTTTTGGCACTGTTATCTAATAGCTGATTGAATCAGTTTTAGTTAAAAGCGCCAAAAAGCCCCACTGCACTTGATTTATGCAGACACTATGGAGCCAGATCCAAGTAACATGCTGCTGCTTCTGGTAAAGCACTTTTTTTTCCCCCCCTTTAAATGTCTGCATGCAGCCAGAAACTCAAGCTAATTTCCAAAATAAACATGAAACATTCTTTTACCTCATAATTCTTCTGAAGCATTAATAATTGTTCATTAGCATATTAGTAGGTTATAGAAACCTAATAAACATCGGTAAGGAGAACAGTTCCTCAGCATTTGAATGGTGTTCATTAATGGTGTGGAAGGGTACTATGAAAAGCTAAGCAACTGGTCTTTTCTTGGCTAAGTGGGGAGGATTCTTTTGTTTCAGTGGACATTTTTTAGGTAAATAAAAGTAAAAACAAAAGCTAATAATTTTATTGAGAGAGCCTAATGTACTTTAAGAAGTTCAGTAACTCTTGGAGCCATTCAGGCTTTAAAGAAATGTGTCCAGGTAAACAGGATGGTTTAATATCTAGCCCATCATGAAAGACTTTAGATTTTACCATGTCTGAAAATAAGGCAATGGTAAAATGTATATTTTTTGAGGGATTTTACTGGAAGGTTCATAGTATAGCACTTATTAATTTTCATATTCTTTTTTTTAATGCCTGATGCTGTGCTGTTTAAATTTAGTATGCATTTTGATGCAGGATCAAATCTTAATGCTATTTGATTGGAATGATTGTTGTACTTATTAAAATAGCTACATCCCTGTTTAAACAAGACATGCTTAATTACTTTGATGTTTCTATTTAAATATACTCCACTAAACAAACTCCTTTCCATGAAAAATTAGTACTGGAATTATTTTCTATATCGGGGGGGGGGGGGGGGGAGGGATGGTTTTTGGT